ATGTTTTAACTACCAAATCAATCATAAAATCCCCAAGGAAAACTCATTATAAAGCAACACATTCCTATCACCCCATGCAGTATTACAAGAGCTATTTTTAACTACAATGATAAACACATCAAATATTATTCCTATTAAATATCTTATTTACTAGTTGGCAATCCTTAGCAGAAGAATGAAATCAACTCATGTGTAGGTCTTTAATTAATCACTACTATCTAACTCTGACCTGGATCATTCTGTGCCTCAGTTTCTTAAACTGTTAAAGTAGGACTGCAAGTATCCACTCCTTGCTATTTTCCCTGCAAAGACTGAGTGAAAGAAGAAGTGAAACCACATGAAAATGCTTCCAGCTGGAGGGAAGGTGACTGTGAGGCACACTGGTGCCTGGGAAGGACAGGTATCTGCGCTGCTGTTCCTCACAAAGAGTAGGTTCTGCCAAGTCAACAACGGTGCTCCAGAATAAGTGACAGCCTGATGCCCTCCCCCCATAGCCTGATACCCCTCCTCCACACAGCCTGATGGCCCTCCCCCCATAGCCTGATGCCCCTTTCCACACAGCCTGATGGCCCTCCCCCCATAGCCTGATGCCCCACTCCACACAGCCTGCTGCCCCTTCTCACACACAATCTGATGCCCCTCCCCCACACACTGCCTGATTTGCATTTGCCCTTCATTTCATTTCTTCAGAAGCTACTCAGCAGGGATGGCTGCTTCTTCAACATTTCATCCTTTCTTTCCTTATGTGTCTGTATCAAGACCCAATGCCATCAGTCCCCTCGACACTGCTGCCAACAGGAACTACTAAATGCAAATGAGGTCATTCTGCTTTAATCCTGGATGCTTTCTACTTCTCATTCAATCCACAATATAGACCAAACAGCTGAGATGAAGGCTCTATATGGTGTGGCTCTTCCTCTCAGCCCTCATGAACCATCACTCTAGAAAGTACATTTCAGCATCTAGCCACACTTACCTCCACTGGTCATATCATAACCTATGGCAGTTCAGAAAATGGCCCTCAAGGTCATAACCTTCCTGAATGAACCCTTGTCCACTCTTGCTTCTGTGTGGTCACTATACCTAGCACATACTTCTAGGGCTACACTGATCACAGTACTGGCAAAGCCATGTGTCATTTCTACTAGACAAAGCTCTGTGGAAGAAAAAAACCAAACCTTGATACTCATACTTATGTCTCAGATCCTGGCCTTTCAGCAGACTCAGAATATACATCTGTCCAACCAAAGTTCCAATTATACTTACTAGTTCATTTGATTTCATTTTCTTTTAATTTTTTTATTAAAAATATTTTATTATTTTATGTGTGTAAGTGTATTGCCTGCATGTATGTAAGTACATTCATGTCACATGCAATGCCCGTGGAAGTAAGAAGAGGGCGTCAGATTCTCCTGGAACTGGAGTTATGGACAGTTGTTAGCTGTTGCCATGTGGGTTCTGGGAACTGAATCTAGTCCTCTGCAAGAGCAGCCAGTACTCTTAACCATAGGGCCAACTCTCCAGACGCTGATGCCATTTTCTTGACAAGTATTTACCATGTAGAAGGCATTTACTTTTTAAAAGATTTATTTACTTAATTAATTTATTGTGTGTGTGCATGTGTGCCAGGTCTTTTTTTGAGACTAAGTCTCCCTGTATACAGCCCAGACTGGCCTGGTACTCAGGTAGACCTGCTGACCTCAAACTGATGGTGATCTTCCTGCCTCAGCCTCCTGAGTGCTGGGATTATAGAAGTGAGCTACTACACCAACCAAGAACTTTTGATTCCAATGATTTAAAGAAAAAACAGAGATAGATTTCAAAAAAAAAAAAAAATATGCAAACTGTGAAGAGAGGGTGTCATATAGGTGTCCCATTTAGGGGTAAGCACTCTGCAGTCTCTCATTCTCTGCATGTTAAGGTGAAGGTAGAGATAGGGAAGGGGGGTCTGAATGGATCAAAGTACATTGTATAAAATACTCGAATCAAAAATGCTTTTTAAAAATTACAAAGTGGTTGTTTCTTTTGCTGTACAGAAGCTTTTTAGTTTAATGAGGTCCCACTTGTTGATTCTTGACCTTAATTCCGGACAACTTATGTCTAGTTTAGAAAGTCTTTTCCTACATCTATACCTTGTAGGTTATTGCCAATGTTTTCTTCTAATAGTTTCAGAGTTTCAGGCTTTACACTGAGGTCTTTGATCCATGTGGAGTTGACTTTTGTGCAAGGTGAAAGATAAGGGTCTAGTTTCATTAAACTCACAGAGTGGGAGAAAATCTTCACTAGCAACACATCTGACAAGAGGTTTAACTTCCAGAATATATAAAGAATGCAAGAAAAAGAATATATAAAGAAAGCAAGTAATCTAATTAAAAGATGGATATGAACAGAGAGTTCTCAGAAGAAGAAATAAAGATGAAACATCTTAAAAGGTTCAACTTCACTAGTAATCAGGGAAATGCAAACTAAGACCACTTTAAGATTGCATCTCACCCCAGTCAGACTGGCTAAGATCAGGAGAACAAATGATACCAAATGCTGGAGAGGATGTGGAAAGGAGAACACTCATCTACTGCTGGTGGGAATGTAAACTCATGCAACCCCTATGGAAAGCAGTGTGGAAATCTTATAAAGAACTAAAAATGAACTTGTCATTTGACTCCTTCGCATATACCCAAAGGACTCATCTTATTGGAGAAACACTTGTACATCCATGTTTGTTGCTGCTCTTTTCACAATAGCTAAGAGATGGAAGCAACCTAAATGCCCCTCAACTGACAAGTAGATAGTGAAAATGTGTTACATTTACACAATGGAGTTCTACTCAGCGGTAAAGAAGGACAAAATCATGAAATTTGCAGGTAAATGAATGGAACTAGAAACTGTTATACTAAGTGAAGCAACACAGACTCAGAAAAACAAACGTGTTCTCCCTCCTAGCACCAAATCTTTATATGTAAGCATATATCCAGATGTAACTACAGGAACCAGAATAACGAAAACAAACCAGAGAGGTAAAGGGTAAGAAATAATCTGAGAGAGAACAGTAGGAGATAGATGTTTCTAATGGAGAAATGGGTAAAAATGGGGCTACTTTTAAATGGAAGGTGAGGAGGGAGGGTTATACAAGGAACCTTGGGGATAAAGGGAAATGAGCTCAAGAGAGAACTATAGGAGACTGGTATTATCAAGGGAGAAATGGGGAAAATGGGGACACTTTAAATGGGGAAACCATGGCGAAAGGGTTAGGGGGAGAGAGAGGAGAGAGATAAATAATGCCTAGCTAGTTTTGAAAAACCAGAGGGAATCATATTAGTCTAACAGCCTAATGACAAATTACACATACACCATCTCTACATGAGTCCATGTGTATAGTTAAAGGCTACATAACAAGAAACAGTACCAGACAGGAGAAACCTTCCTTTGAGTTGTTGGGCAGGGTGGTCCAAAACACTCCCAAAATTACACAGGTATTGCCATAGTCCTTGATTGCCTCCCAGAACTTGAAAGTAAGACCCTACTACTGAAGATAGAACATACTTTGGACACAGGATTTAGAGCAATAAAGCTGGAACTGGCCGGGCTGGTGGTGCACGCCTTTAATCCCAGCACTCAGGAGCCAGAGGCAGGAGGATCTCTGTGAGTTCAAGCCAGCCTGGTCTACATAGTGAGTTTCAGGACAGCTGGGGCTACAGGGAGACCCTGTCTCAAAAAGACCAAAAAAAAAAAAAAAAAAAAAAAAAAAAAAAAAAATGCTGGAGCTGACTTGAAGCCACTTCTGAAGGCTAAATCTCATGAAACTTTGGAGAGCACTATGAAGGTGCCAAGGGAAAACAGAAATCGATGATTCAACACCAGCTTCAAGACCAAATAATCACATCCATGGCTGGCACAGCATACAACATTGGTGCAGTAGTGGGATTTTTTTCTTGGGGGCAATCAACAGCTACCTAATTGGACTAAAAGCCCACTCAATGGGAGGAAACTCAAGTGTGGTACTGTAAACATAACCAAATACACATGGCTCCGAGTGGTAACAGATCTCAGAGAAAACCCCAAGAGTGTCACATCCCTAGATTAATGTAGTTTCTTACTATGTGCAAATTATGTAACCTTATATTTGCAGATAAATATCCCAGTCACCACTCATCAAAGAAGCTTATTTTGCACCAGTTGGAGATTATTACCAAGTACCACAACTGGTCACACACAGATATTGCCTATGAATTGCCCAGGCCTAAGTGACACATCTGCAATGCAACTTCTACACCTAAAGCTTATGAAACATATATAACAGGGGTGAAGAAGAGGACACTAATGAATTGCTCAGTTCTCATTAATGAAGCTCCTTCATGCAACAGAGGGTCAGAAACACAAAAGGTCACAAATGGCCAAAGTGTAGAGATTCAGAGTCTATAGAATGCTGGTCCTTGGACAAGACCTCTATATTAAACTTCAACCACCCAGGGATCAGGAACCATTAGAGAAGAGGGGGTGGAAAGACTGTAAGAGCCAGGGAGGAGGTGAATTACCATATGGAAACAGAGTCCTACAAGCTCCTGGGAACCTGCTCATATGATTCTATGGCAATTATGTCAGCATACACAAGTCCCATGCAAATTCAGGCACGCAAAAACCCAGCACCCACATGTTGGCTAACAACAGTTTGTAATTCAAGTTCTAAGGGATCTGTTGCCCTCTTCTGACCTCCATGAGCACTGCACACATGGGTGCACTTCCTTACATGGGGGCAAAACATGCATACACATAAAATAAAAATAAATAAAAATTTAAATGTCAATTTGGTAAAAGAGGGTAAACATATAACCATGAGGGTGATGTTGAGCATAATAAGGACTCTGAATTTTATTCTAAGTGCAGTAGGAAGCCATTTAAAGGTTATCGACAGAAGTGATCTAACAGGCTTCAGGGAAGAGCCACAGAACAACTTTTTCAAGTTGGTCAGGATGACTTTTGAGCCAAGGTCACAAAAGTTGTACCTCTGCCTGCCAGGCCAGGGTAGAAGCCGAGAGTGCTGATGTTCGGCCAGCTCCAAGAACAGCAATTGTTTCCCCATCATCATCCACCACTTTGAAGTCCAGATCTTCGTTGTATTTTCTGCGCTTCACTTGACGTCCTGAGCGCCGTTTCTGTAGAACAAGCACATGTATCAGAGCAGTCTGTGAGTCAAAGGCAAAACTTTCACATGAATACCATCAACTACACTTACTGATAGGCCATGCAGGGTTTTCTCAACTTCGGTCCAGATCTTCGTTGTATTTTCTGCGCTTCACTTGACGTCCTGAGCGCCGTTTCTGTAGAACAAGCACATGTATCAGAGCAGTCTGTGAGTCAAAGGCAAAACTTTCACATGAATACCATCAACTACACTTACTGATAGGCCATGCAGGGTTTTCTCAACTTCGAAATGGAATGAATATTCCTTAAATACCAGTCTCATAAGAACCAAATTCACACAGAATAGGATCTAGCTTAGTGAAACAGAATGACCAAATCTCCAAACTGCCTGAATGGCTAGCAGTGTGGCCTCAGAGCCCTGCCTGACCTACTAGGAGTATGGCCTCAGAGTCCAGGGAGATGTGCCATTCATCAATGGTAGTGATGTTTTTCTTCCTTTCTAGAACAGGTATCTTTGAGAACCATTCAGATTTTCTCATACCATAGGAGTTTTTATTTATTTTGCTCAAATTCACCCTATGTAACAACTAACTTCTAAAAATGTTGTTTGAAAAATTAATAAAAGTCAATTTTACTGGGACTTAGCCTCTGAGAATCTTGTAACGCAACTGTGACAAAATGGCAAGCTACTACCTAAGGACTCCTCTTTAATCAAACTTGCAACAAAACAGTGCACTGATGTCCTCCAACTTAAGCCTGTGTCCCATCTCTACTTGTCATGGTTCCCAAGCAGCAGAATCACTTCAGGGAAGTCACTGGGTAGCATGTCTTCATTTACTTAAATACAACCAGCCAAACAAGACCAAGCAAAATCCCAGTCCTGACTTTCTAAGCGTGACTTCTATGTAGCAAAACAGGACCCCGAGCCTCACCTAGCTTGACTTCTAGCTTCATTTTCCACATCAGCCTGTTCCACAAACTGATACGCTGCTTTATAAGACAGCAAACACTAAAATTCTGGGAGATTATTAGTGTAATCATCACCCTTAGGAAACAGTCTGTGTGTGATCTATGAGCTCACCCACCAGGACAGTAAAGCCTAGTTAGGTCTGTATGTAAAGGTAGTAGGCTGGAGATAGGCACTGAAGAACACCAGGAGAAGTGTCAAGACCTGTCTGGCATCATAACATCCAGCAAATCCCCAGTTGCAGCTGTACCTGGCTGTCTGCAGACTCAGTGGACTCCTCAGGATTCCGCAGGGATGGGTTCGGCAGACCCTGATCCAGCTCTAAACTCTCCACTGTGGTTTCATTTTTCCTTTTTCCTTTCTTCTTTCTCTCCACTGGGGTTGGTCCTTGTTCCTTGCTACAAGAAATTCAGAATTAAAACTCTTGGTCAGCTTTGAAAACAAAAATTTTTCATACGGTTCAAGTTATAAAATCATATCCTGGAATTCTAGTACCTTCTAGGAAGGCAGACTATAATGGAAAATCCCTATGAGTTTCTTCCCAGAAATGTACAGAAACATGGGAAAAAACATCTGCATGTATTAAGGCAGAATTCACTTTCTTATAGTCTTGTAATGACTACCATTAATGTAGTAAGAAAGAGTAAGAATTTCTCTATAAAAACCTTACTTTCAATTTAAACCAGTATCTTCACAAGGAAGTTTTATTCCTTCACAGATACTAAGAATCATCAAATCACAATATCCCTTTAGGTTACTTGGGAAGAGAAAGCTCCTTAATCTGACATCCTCTGCTTTGAACATGGTCTATGCAGAAGGCCCAGGATGAGCACTAGGGACAATCACTGCCCTCATCCTTGAAAACTTCAGATATAAAAGTCCTATAATCACAGCCCATGGCAGTACGTGGATGTGTTCTCAGAGTGGGTAGTCTATTTATCCTACAAGGACCTATCATGACCCTGATCTTCCTACTTCTTACAGTTGCCAAATACCACAACTGTATTCTACTTCTAGTACAGAAACTCTGTTCTTTCACCAAAGTTAGTACTTAATCATGATGCCAAGCCTAGAACTCATGTACTTCATATAGTACCTAGATCTTCTGCAGATGGCTCAATTAACATTTGCTAAATGGTATTTTATACTTCTCTGATCTGTTATCCTTCCTAGAGGACTTGTTCAGGTTGTGTATTCCTGAGTAGTTTGACTCCTTATACATAATAGGTATTCAATTCACATTTAAGCAAGTCTTTAAAAATTTTAAGGATGGACAGATAGATGATTAACGGATGGATAAGACTATTTGTGGTAGGGGAAACGGGAAAATTCACTGCAACAAAGATATACATAGAATTCAGACAGACATAACAGCAATTAACAATAATGACTGCAACTTGACTCATAGGACAGTACCTGAAGGCACTGTTCTAAGCCCTCTACAGGGATTATCTCCTTTATGTCTCACAGTGCCATTAGGCAGAGAGCAATTTATTCCCATTTTTTTCATGAAGCATCTAAGGCACACTGAGGTTAAGTGAAATTTCTTAAGTAACGGGGCTAGGAAAAAGGTAAGTGTCTAAAGCCAGGCTGAGTTTGTACATTCCTGGAGAATCACCATCGCATTCATGGGTAACTGACAGCTGTAGAGCTATCAGCTGTACAGCTGGGTGACAGGGCCAAATGCACAGAAATAGTGCATGACAGAGGTAGAAGGAAAAACTAAGGGACCATGAAGCTGACTTTGCCCTGTGGGAAATGGGAAATGACAGCAAATCCAGGTGAGAGTATGTAAGACTGTGCTCAATACCACCAATGGGGGCTCAAGGCTAATAGTGGTTTAAAAGGCCCTGAAGGAGTGGGAGCAGTAAGTCTCAGCAAATGACAGAATGTGCAGGACAAAGAAAAGAGTCCCTATTACCAGTGCTTCCCATCAAGAGTATTAGCTGAGGGAGAGGTAGGTGTGTAGAAACAGGAAGGACTGGACGGCCTGCTTACAAAAGGCAGGTTCAGTATGCTGGCCACTGAGTTAGTCTTGAATACCTTTCACTAGACCCCACAACTAGACCAGTGCAAATCTAGTCAATTTCTGAAGTACTCCGCTAAAGTCTGGTCTGTCTACCTACTGGGAAAGTTCACACTGAACAGAGGAAGTAAAACTCAAGGAGTGCCTCCATTTTAGCAGACTACTGATTTTAACAAGGGATTTATGCTTTTAAATGGGTGGGGTGGAGGCAAAAATTCTCCCATTTTTTCTCTTTTTTTTGAGACAGGGTCTTACTATGCAGCCCTAGCTGGCCTAGAACTTCCTATGTGGTCCAGACTGGCCCTGAACTCAGAAGTTCTCACCTGCCTCTATCTTCTCAGTGCTAGGCTTAAAAGTATATAAACCATGCCCAACTCTACTTCCCCATTTAAAAAAAAATATTATTTTTTTATTTTATCTGTATGAGTCATGTAATGCCGTGGAGGTCAGAAGTGGGTTTCGGATTCCCCTGGAACTGGAGTTAAGGATGGTTTGTAGCCACCACATGGGTGCTGGGAATCGAACCTGGGTCCTCTATAAGAGCAGTCAGTGCCCTTAACCGCTGAGCCATCTCTCCAGCCCTACTTCCCCATTTTTAAGATGATAAATTTTCAGAGAATTCTCATCTCAGGTTACATAGCTTCTCACTAAAAAATTGTATAGATGGGGCGAGAGAGATAGTTCAGCAGTTAAAAAGCTCTTGCAGAGGACCCAGGTTCAGTTCCCAGTATCCACATGGTACCTCACAAGCATCTGTAACTCCAGTTCCACCCTCATGTGGTACACATACACACACACAAACACTCATACAACTAACATAAAAATAAATAAATCTAAAATTAAAAAAAATCATTTAACAACTATTTTCACTGGTGAAATTACTTATGTGTAAGTCTGTGACTTGCTGAAAGAACCATGGCAACAATCCAAATATTCCAGATGGACCTATGAAAGCAGCAAAGACCCTCTAGCCAGCTTTGGGTGAGAACAGACACTCAGGTGACCTCAGTCACAGGGGGCTACTTTTTCAGACCACATGTTTATTGACTCAATTTTATTCCTTTGGATAAATGTTAAAAAATTCAAGTCTCCTTTAGTGTTGCCAGAATCTCAATAACCAAAAGAATCAACGAAAAACATTCTGGTATTTATTATAGAAACAACCCACAAATCCATAGTTATTGATGATTTTATGGCTCTTGTAATAAAGAGGTCTTATGCTTAATTCTTTGACACAACTTTAAAGAAAGCTGATGACACTTCAAAATCACCTTCATAATCACACACTCGAGAGGGCCATTGAATCGTCTGTAAAACTGCCAACCTTTCATCTCACATATGAAATTAATTTCATCTATTAAATGCAACTTCATTATATTAGAAAGCCCTGTCTAGATGTTTATGCTTCATTTTAAAATATTTATATTTACAAATTATACATATATTTAAATATATTCATGCTAAAAACATACTTTACTGTGCGAAATTATACTAACAGCTAAACCAAGTTCAAATCATAATTAAGGAATAGAAAGAACTCTTCAAAATAAGATATTTTACTGTGAGATATATGAGTGCATTTTTGGAAATACACTAAGTGATGAAAATAAGGAGAAACCAAGGTGATGGACTTCCAAAGTCAAGCCTGGACACCTCTAGATTTTCTTAGCCAGAGGCTGGGGGCTGGTGAGGTGGGGAGAATACCTCAGCAAACTAGAAAATGTCTGCTGAACTTGTGCACGTTACTGAGGTAAATAAGAAGGTACTCTACCTGGAGAGTCTTCAAAGTGACTTTCTGGAGGTTACCTTTGGCAAGAGAATCAATTTTGAGTTCCAAAAATTCTTCCTGGAGCTCTTCTGATAAAGACAAACATCAGGAAGAAAAGATTCCTTGTAAGCTTATAAATGGGATTTGAAAATAGGACATTAAGAAATATATCCTGAATTCTATCTTCTAGGATGATGCTTGATAAAATGTACTCTTCTTCTCTCTGGAGTGTTTTTAAACCCCAAGGCTTTAGAGTTCTATTAGACAGAAACAATTCTAAATCATTTCTAAACTTCTATTATCTCTAGATGGATCTGGTCTATGAATATTTGTGAACTCACGGAAGTTCCACATTCCTTAAAAATAGTAGGCAGGCGGGATCTCTGTGAGTTCAAGGACAGCCTGGTCTACATAGTGAGTTCCAGGACAGCTGGGGCTACAGGGAGACCCTGTCTCAAAAAGACAAAAAAAAAAAAAAAAGTAACTAACAAAAGTTAACAAAATAACACACAGTGCTTGCTTTAGCACATGTTCTAAAACTGGAATGAAACAGGGAAGATTAGCATGACCCTTGTACAAGGAAGACAAATATGAAACTTTCCATATTTTAGAAAGCTGGAAAAAGACCCACCATAATACCCAGCTACACCACTCCTGGGCAGACCCCCAAGGCCTCCATATTTCACTAGAGATACTTGCTCATCCAGGCTCACTGCTGCCTAGAAAATGGAAACAGCCTGATGTTCATCAACTGATGAGTGGATTATGAAAATGCAATACATATACACAACAGTTTTACTCAGCTGGAAAGAAAAATGAAATGAAATCTGCAGGTAAATGGATGGAACTGGGGGAGAAAAAAAAAAATCATACTTAGTGAAGCCATCCAGGCGCCAAAAGACAAACACCATTATGGTCTCACTTACATGTGGATCCTAGCTTTGACTCTTTTGCTGTGTTTAAACTGGAGACATTGTGGAAGTTAGGAAACTAGAAAGCAGACAATGGAGAGGTGGAGGGATTTTAAGGGAAAAGGATAGAACACAGGCAGTATAAAGGGGGACTAATGAGGGAATCAATTAAGAGGAGAAAGAGATGGGAAGGTAGGAGGACCTTTGATTTGAGTTACTGGTCAAGACAGGCCCAGAAACATCCCCCCACAAACAATGCAGCCTATTGCCACTGCTCTTGGTTGCCCACCAAACCTTGATGGTAACCCCCTATTGCTAAGCCGCTATACGTTTTAGTTACAGGATATGGAGAAATCAAGTTGGAAAGCTAGGAAGCTTCTTCCCTGCTGGCTAGTTTTCACAGTACCATCAGGTGCTGTGGAGGCTGCTGAGGGAGAAAAGTCATCAACAGTGGTACCCAGCTGTGAACACTGCAAGCTATAATAGCAATCAGTTTGGCAAGCTATGCCCAGTAATGTAATAGTGGCATGAACACTTTGGGAATAACCAACAGCTTTCTAATTAGACTTAAGACTCATTCTACAGGCGGAATCTGCTAACATGGTCAAGAACCCAAGGCCAGGAAGGTCATAAGCCTGGGGGAAAACGTACATTGTTATTTGCTAAATAGATATAGTATCAAACTGCATTCTA